TCATTGGTTTCCTTTCTTCTCTTTCAAACTCCTAACTTTAAGATATACTTTAAAGAGATTTCTAGATCTCTTAGTCGTCTTGTGAACAGTACTCCTATTTTCCAAGTGTTGAAAGCTTTAAATGAGTGACACTCACCATTGAGTGTCTTTTTGTTTTAGATTATGCAAGACTACTTAACCCGGTTTCGTAATTTATGCAGTTTTGTTCTTGTTTTCTTACCTATTATTATTATTATTAAATAAGTGACCTTAATAAGCATTTCCATCACCTTTCAGAATTCTATATACCTACCTGTACAACTTTGAAGAGAGAAGTTACGAAAAGAATATTGTTTTCTGTCATAGTACGATCAGGTTGCATATTTGATTCGTCCCAATAACCACCTATCCACTTAGCTAAATGACTACCTAATACTCAAAAAACTGAAATCAAGTGTACCTTTTGTCACTTCTTACTGAGCACTATTTTTATTACACCCTTGTGGTAATACAGGGAGCGCTTTAGCAGAACTTCGTCATTTCACCCTGTCCTTTGAAGTCATTTTAGCTGGCTCCACAACTTCCTCTATATGCTTTCATTTACTACCCACGCCCACAAACACACGATCTCCACTATGCCATCCTTGGACCAAAGCCCAACTTGTCATCACTCGCCATTGGCTTTTCACTTGAAAGCTTGGCATGTGATGTCAGTCGACGGTCTCCTCAGTGTATGGTATGTCCAGTCCATCTCCGTTTCCTTGGGCATATTTTTTGCCACTGAACAATGTTTACCCTATATATGTTATTATTGAAAGACAAAAGTAGGGGAAAGTAGATTATGGAATTTCGAATTAGTTATTTAAATGGAATGTCCTCCCCTCACTGCATAACCATACACTTCTTTTCTATGCTCTCAATTTGGATTGTGGGTTCATATCACTAAGAAATCATCAAACAGACCAAATATGATAGCTATTCATATTTTTCATGTTTCAGTGGTGTTGGAGTGTGACTAAAGTACTTGGATATTAAAAAAAATCCAAGTGTGACTACGGACTGATATCAGTTACAGAGAGTGAACCATTTGAAAACCAACACTGGAGTACTGTACAGCTGTTTCTAGTCAGAAGACGTGATCAGTGGGTTTCACTCGGTTTGCAGTGACGACAGATACTCGTCGATGATATCTGTTACTACCAGACGCGCTGAAATCACTAATTTGGTAGAAGTTAGAATTCATGGGCTAGCCATTGAATCTGGTCCCAGTAGCTCAATGGTCTATGAGCTCGCTTTGTAATGGAGGGTCCTTAGTTCGAACCCTGACGGTGGGTGCATACTGCAGATGAGTCCCAAATAGAGACGAAATAGGTGTGGTCAAACATGAAATAAATTAAACCCCTAAAAATCGCTCACTTAATTTACAAATGAATGATATCAAATATGCAAGTGTTGGCTTGTAGGGATTTGATTGGTTACAGGACTTCATCACGAGCTGACATCAGTTTGAGGACCATTGGAAAACCTGCAGGGAGTACTGGACAGCCGTTTCGACAGCCCAGTTTTGGACTCTTCAGCGGAACGCACCCATCCAACTGCCAGAGTTCGAACCCAGGACCTTCTGGTTACAAGGCGAGCTAGCTCGTATACCATTAAGCCACTGGGACCCGATCCAATGGCCCATTAATTCTAACTCCTGCCAATTCACAACATAGCGCAACCGCTAGCCAATGTTTTCGGCGAGTATTTGTCCTCACACTCTACTGGTCACGAATTTCCACTAGAACCCCAGGTAACTACCTTCCTGAATATGGCCAGTCGCCAGTGAGCATCTCATTGATATTCAAGTGTTGGTTTGTAGGGATTTGATTGATTGGTTACAGGATTTCATTATGAGCTCGCCTTGTAACCAGAAGGTCCTGGGTTCGAACCCCGGTGGGTGCGTACTGCTGAAGATATCAAATATGATTCATTGAATCAGTGATGAAATAATAAGTTCAGGGACATTTGATGATTATGACTAACAGACAGGTATTACTAATTATTACTTATTGGGAATAATAATATCGAAGTGTATAACTTTTTGTTCGACAGGTCAATTGTATTATAACACACTTTTTATGCATACAAAAATGCTTATGTGTTAAATACTGGCTAATTTATTGATCTACGGCTCTGTGTTTAATAACAACACTGGGGTGATGATTCTTCCTAGTGGTATTTAACACCAATAGGCGATCAAATAACCTGAACAATCCTCAACAATATTAATAAATGACTTGCACTCAATTTTAAAAGCAAAACATTAAAAAGAAAATTAAAAAAACACAAATAATGCATTATATCGACTTCAAATCTACCAAGAAGAGTAACACACATAGCACTTTATTGTGTGCTTGCACTTGAGACGTAATAACAGGATATATATACACATAAATAATATAGTTTAGCACGAGAACGAGCCTAAACATGTTAACATATGTTTGTGTGGGTGTGGGTGTGTATTAATGTGTCAATTTTTCCTTGTATATGTGCAAACATTTTTGTGTATTTAGGAATTGAGCAAGCTAACAAGAATGCCCTGTTTTTATTGATCCAACCCACACAAATGTGAAAGGCTGAGTCACAGTGACATATGGACATGTTTATGAATCCCCCCGCCAATAGAAAATGAGACGATAATTTGTCACGTTGCGTGCAAGGCAAATAAATGTGTGACTAGTCAGGATATTAAATAAATTGAAAACAGTCAATAATATTGAGGTTTTGAGACTCCGTATTTGATCAAAATATTAGGAAAGTAGGAAATGTGTCTTGTTCACGCCACAATTAATCGATAATGTAGGAGAGTTAAAGAGTCAGTCTATGTATACGTTAGCTGAGTTAAGTTGTGTGCAGTTCCTTATTAATTTTGTTTATTAGATTTAATACAAAGTGAAACAGTATTACTATTTACCGGATAACGTTTCGAACACAACTTAGTACTTTGATTGGACACTAGTAACTACTGTGATGTGTCAAGTCCTTTCTTTGGTGCAGACTGAATTCTATCAGTCAGGTGTGTAGTGTGGTCACCATGCCGCGGGTTCGAATCTCAGGAGGGATATGAGTTGTTCCTTCAAGGTTGCAGATACGCCTTGCTGACTGAATTGTGAGTGCCAACTAGCACGAAATCTAGGTCCAAGGCTTCCTGTGGCCGACTGCCTCCAACCACCTAATATCATCAAAACAACTTAGTACTGTTCATAATCATATCAATTATAATTACATAAATTCGAAACTTCCGTTTTATAGCTTTATTTTTCTTTATTCCTTCAAGCTAGAGGCTTGAAGTTTCTGTAGCAGGGTTTATTTCTACAGGATGGGGTTGCTAGCCTCATACCCAACCTTCCCTCCTTACCAGTTTTTATTACTGGCTCAGCAAGGTAAAGGTGTGAGTCAGCAGGGGGTCGAACCCCGGAGCATGTGCATCATAGTCGGCGAGCGTCCTAACCGTTATGCCACCGACGCATAGCTTTCTTCATTCTTCCCTATTTGTCGTAGGGGTAGTACAGTGGCTTTATTGCTAAATTCCCGCTAATTGTAGCGTCCTAGTCTGTTACTATGGTGGTTTAATGACAGGTTATATTTTTATATGCTTTTTCAATGAAATTTTGTGTAGAAATTATTTTCTGGCGTACATATTGCCCGGTAGCATTATATATATTCATTGGATTGAGTTGCATTTGTTGCACCTTTACTAAAAAATAAATCTTGCTTGATACTGATATCTGCGCTATGCTGTAATGGATTAAAGAGGCGACAGTAATTTCAAAAGGTTAAGTGTACATCATCGAATTTTCATGAAATTATGTAGGTATATTTTAGCCTGTTTATTCAAATGCCCTAATACCCACGGAATATAGGTGAGGAGCCATGTCAAAGAAAGGATATGCCGTATAATCGCCCAGAACTTAGAAATAACTTCATCACTCTGATGATAGTAGCTTTAATTAATGTCTGGCCACTGAAATCGCACAGGAACTTGTTCTCATGTAAAACGTTTTCATAAATGCATTCAAAGAGAAAAAATAAAGATTCGAATAAGATTGCTTCTAATTTGTATTGGCTAAGAACTTACATTTTGACACATTACTGTAATACATTAAGTCAAAAATTATATTTTACTATATTAATGAAATAAAGAATCTATGGGAACGAAAATAAACAAGAACTTGTTGTTCAGCAAGAATGTAGGAGAAAATAGAGATGGATTGGGCGTACATTGAAGAGACTATCGAATGACATCGCGCGCCAGGCCCTCGAGTGGAATCTGAATGGAGAACGAAGAGTGGGTCGTCCTAGAGTGACATGAAGGTGATGACAGACTATGAGCAATCATGGCCCCAGATGAAGAGGACAGCAGAAAAAAGAACAAAGTGGAGATGTGTTGTCAAAGCTCTATGTTCCACTCAGAAACCACGGGCACAATATTAGTAATAATGTTACAATGAGTTCCATGATGAGAGTGTAAGTTCAGTATTTATCTGAAGAACAGCACGAAGATTAATAAATGATGTGTCAGCGCCAGCACTCACCAACATAGATACTTCCATCATACATCCATTTCCCATAGTTTTCAGTCAGTCAAATATTAAGAATAAAATATATCGATCAGGTGTAGATGCACGGCGAATAAACTCTACACACTAGGCAATCAAATGAGCAGTGGTAAATTGATGATCAGGAATCTAGTAAAACTTCATTATGTATCCAAGATATAATTAGGATGATGATATTCCTTTTGAAAGAAATCAACGAAACAATTTCTATGAGAGATTATATTTGACTTCATTTACACGTATGAAAATAATGTGTAATATCGTTAAAATTTCACCAAACGATTATCTACTACTTAAACTAATTATTAAGTAGTTCAAGTAATTATACGAAATATAAACACGTTGTGATAGAATTAGTATGTATAATTAATGATGATCTTAAGTAAATGAAATAAATAAATAAATAACTTAATAACTTACGTGATAAACCAGTAAAAGAAAACATGCCAATCTGTTTAATAATATGCTCCCAATTTCCAGGTGTTCCTAAGCTCTTCAATCCTTCATAAAGTCCTTGTCTCATTTGACGAACACGTTCAGCCATAGTGACTACACAGGATTTCCTAAATTGCAATTGGAAAATAAAAAAGGTTGCAAAGAATGCAACCGCATTTCATTAACGAAATCACATAATTTTTACAAGGCATCTACACATATATGAATTTGATTTTTTAAAAGAATTATATCTCCCTTTTGCATTCAAGTTTGAATTTTAAAGTTTCAGAAATTGGTGGTACTTCTTCTTTTTTTACCGGGTGGGTTCGCTAGCCTCACTCTAAACTTTCCCTTGTTTTATTAGGCTTACTACCGAGTAGGTAAGGTCTAGGTCTGAGTTGGCTGTAAATCAAACCCACTTCATATACGCAACATCACGTACAAAGAATCGTCTCTAAAGATAATTAAATGATGACATTTCCGTACAACCAGGGTCCCCTTTATTAGTTGGAATATAGCAGGAACGAACATATAAACATGCAGGATAAAACGAGTTCATTTCACTTCGTGGATTCTCTTCAACTGCGTACCCCCAAAACAAAGTCAGAATATAAGTTACACAAAGTCTGACTGAACTATACTTTACTCACAGTGACGTCGTCCAGTTATAGATGGAGAGTATAAGCGCAACATAATTTCAAAGATAATGTAAGTAGACATATTATTCAGTCTTAGAAGAGTGTTCTCGAGTACAATTTCCAAACACCCAAATGACACGCGACATACAGCGGAAATTAGTCAGGCTTTCAAAATAACCAATACTTAGAGAAAACCATGGTTACTTCGGTTCTCAGAAGCCATTCTTATCATCAAAAGAGTTTGACACAACCTCTGTATACAGGAAGATATACATACATATATATTTATATACACATTCATATTTATACCCTGGTAACCGTAATTTTAATTTTCATCTACTGAGTTGTACTCACTGTTAAGTTCCCAAATCAACTCAATTGTTTTGTCTATGTCATAATTTTACTTTATTATTCACTCCCAACCTTCTGAACTCTCCATTATAACATGCATTAAATTGACCATGTGTTGTTCAATCTTTTTTTGTCTTAAGTCAGTCATTGTTTCTAAGTCAAATCTGAACTAATACCTTTCATCTCCTATCTAACTGAATCATGAAAAGTGATCCTTTCAACACTCAATAATTTAGCGGAAATATTCATTCAGACATTTATAAAAACACAAAATAATTGAGTAACGAATATCATTTTCGATAATTTCCTCTTCTGGCTCTACAATTATATATACATATGTTTAAATAAATAGAATATTCTAGATTAGTAGTCAATAACAATATTAGTGTTTTTTAAATAATATTGACTTGTAAAGTAAGATCAATGGAATTACCACAGTTCACTAAAGATGTTTAAATAATAATAATAATAATAATATGATAGCCAGTTACATAGGCCATGCTATTAGGCGTGTTTCTCGTCGAATTTCCGAACATCACCCTGTGGTTGGTTAAGTAAAGGACAAACAAAATTTATTCGTAGAGCTATTCTATCTCATCTTGTGGATACAGAACACAAGATTCATGTTAACTAGGCTGCTTTCAGAGTCATTAACCGCATACTAACAAATCTCAATTTCGCCTTAACAGTTCGATTACTAAATATTGCTGAGGCTGTTGGGATCCACATTAAGAAACCTAATTAATGCGTCCAAAAGAAGCTAGTTCAGACATTATCCTTACCTTGGCCATCTAGGTTTGAATGATCCTCAATTTTTGTGGAATTTTCCTAATTTTAGCTGATATTCTATTTGATATTGTATCTTTATTGTTATTATTGTAATTAAGGCATTTTTAATCAACTGTGGTAATTCCATTGATCTCACTTCACAAATCGATATTATTTACAAAACACACTAATGCTGTTATTGACTACTATTCTAGAATATTCTATATATATTTAAACATATGTATATATAATTGTAGAACTAGAAGAGGAAATTATCAATAATTTGTCTATTTAAATCATTTTGGAATTCTTTTGCGCTTATACTTTCCATCTATAACTAGACGACGTCACTGTGAGTAAAGTATGTTGTCCAGTCAGACCTTTTGTAACCCTATAATTTCATTTTGTTTAGGATTTATGCAGTGTTGAAGAGAATCGACGAAATAAAATGAGCTCGTATTATTATGCTGCCTGCAAATATGTTCTTTTTTACACTCTCTTTCTTTATTTCAATGAAAAGAGTCAGAAGTGCACAAAGAACACAGGCTAAGTGACAATAAATTCCACGTAAGTTTGTTTATTACATATGTATCACACAATGAAACAGTATTATTTACTGGATGACGTTTCGAACAAAATTTATTGTTCTTAATCATTGCATCAATTATAATCACACGACTTCGAAACTTCAGTTTTATAGTTTTCTTTCTTCTCTTCCATTTGTCGTCGTAGGGGTAGTAGAATTTTCCAGATATCTGAAACAGGTGATGAATCATTCCTACTACATGTATTTGCAGTTGATTCGATAAACAAAGCTTCTCTTACCAATCTCTCCCTCCACCCTGCTATTACATTAGATTTGAAAACTGTCATCCTATCCCATCCAACCTATTGTATAGTTGTGTGTAATTGCTTGTGGTGTAGTGCTATAGCTGAACTATTCTCTAGATTTCTTACCTAAGTGTCGGGTCAACTAATCTAGATTTCGCTAGGTTTGACTCACTGCACCTGTTCTGCCACTTTGACCTATGTATCTGACCTGAAAATCATTGCAGGGTATTAGATAAACTAAACTGTTTTTGTTTTAACAGCTCCACAACATCCTTTAGCCGGCAAAGCTTGTTTCTAATTGAGTTTATGGGTTTGAATGCCACTTTTATTCCCGCCTTGTTAAGAATTCTGCGTAAGGCTTCCGAGGTTCCTTCCTTGGATGGAATTACTACTGATGATTTAGATTCCTTATTGTTGGTGTCGTCATTAATATTATTATTATCATCACTATTATCGTTGTCATTATTATTGTTATTATCACAATCGGTGCATCGGTGGTATAGTGGTTTGGACGCTCGCCGACCATGCACACGCACCGGAGTTCGATCCCCGGCCGACGCACTCCTTTACCTCGCTGAGCCAGAAATAATGCTGGTAAAGAGGAAAGGTTGGGCATGAGGCTAGCAACCCCATCCTCTAAAATAAACACTGCTACAGAAACTTCAAGCCAATAGCTTGAAGCCCTATGTTCCACTGGGGAACGTAAAGGAAAAAAGAAAAAAATTATCACAATCGCTACTATCATTATTTATTTTATTTTTACATTTCCTTACATATTTCCTGACTAATTTATCCGGGTAATTATTAAGTTTCAAGGCTTCTTTTATGTATATCAGTTCCTGTTTTAGATTTTCCTAGGTGCTACTTAGTTTTTGTGCTCTGCGTTCTATGTCCCGTGTAAAGTGGTATAGTAGGGTAAGCAATACTGAGGTTAGGCGTCGAGGGCTAAGTAAGAAGGGGACTCAATCGACGAGGCTGTGAAGCTACGTCGACTGAGATGGCTAGGACATGTGTTACGTATACCAAGCCATCGCCTTCTTCGACGGGCAATGTTAGCTGACATAGGGTCAGGTTGGAAAAGAGCTAGCAGTGGTCAAACCAAAACATAGCTTTATCAGTCAATGAAATCCACAACCGTTATTTTAGGCCAGCCACGTAGGAAGGTGTAGACTTCCTGGTTGCGGTCCTCGGGACTTTAAAAACCCAATGGCTAGATACAATTGGCGCAGATGCATCCACTTCTTGTGACTTATAATTTCCAATGAAACTATGTTGTTCTTCGTTATTACCATTCCTTTTGTCTCTTATCCCTGTCTGATGTCTCTATTATGCATTTCAACTACTTTCTTCTCTTGCTTTGTGTGCTGACTGAAGTGTGACGACTCAAACTGCTGCACATCGGTGCAAAGTTCTATATCGAAAACAAACAGACAGATAGAGAGTCAGAATATTTGAATTCGACTGTTATTCAGAAATGTTATTTAATGATGAACATATTAGAGAGATTAATAATTGTGAAGCAATTTTGCTATGAAAATGAATCACTAGAAAGTATACACGCCTAAATGCAGAAGCCATTAAGCCAATGACACATGTCAATAATCCAATCCATGACAACTTCTACTATGACTTTTTCCAACATACACTCTCTCTCTTCATCTATAAAACAGTTATAACCCGTTTGGCTACATTTGATTAACTTAAATGTTTGAATTATAGGTTCAGATAACTTTCTCAAGATTCAGTGTTCTATCTAATAGATAGGTAAAAGGCTGTAGAATATGTGATTGTGTTGATTTACGCCCAACTATTGAGATTTGTGGATGCTAGTGATGGGTGGAACTGAATAATAATAATAGGTTGAAAGTTGAACACAGCTTAGTCAAAATGTTGAGAAAACTTTTTTTATGAATATTCACTTAAATATATTCTTTTGATTTACATGTTCACATGTTCGATCGATTAAGTGTCCACTTAGTCACATTTTTCTGGCAATATGTGGTATAATTGCACTTTGGGATAACACTACAAAACGTGTTTCTCTGTTTGTCTGTTGTTTTTTCTTTTTTTTTTTGCGGATGTTATACGCCTAGAAACGATGATTCTAATAATAAAATAATAACATGTGAGTATCACTGACTGACTGGTTTCAACGTAGAACTTTGCACAGACATGCACAGATTTCCCACAAAATGGTGGGGTATGCAAGTGAAAAGCAATAAGTTGGCAGAAGAAGCATCAAAGATAGGACTTCACTTCAGGTGAACATCGAGAAAACAGGTGATGAAGATTCCTGGGCAACAATAAGAGCAACAACAACAACAGACAACAATCAGCATAAATGGAAGGAACCTGAAAGAAACAACCTCCTTCACCTACCCACCTATCTATCTGGGAAGCATCGTTTCAACTAAAGGCGGACGGAACTGACGAGGATATCAAAGCAAGGAGGATCTCAAGTCTGTGTGGAGGTCAACAGTACTCAGCATCAAAAATAAGATCCGGATTTTCAACTCCAATGTGAAGTTAGTGCTACTTAC